AGTCCAGGCTGGCCTCGAACTCACAGAGATCCACCTGGCTCTGCCTCCCGAGTGCTGGGATTAAAGGCGTGCGCCACCACCGCCCGGCTAGAACTTGATTTTTAAATGCACTCTGCAATTTGTTACAGTCCATAGGGCAATGCCACACCACATCACAAGCAATAGTCACACTGAACCAGCCCTGGAATCTTACAAGATTCCAGGAATACCAGCTCCCTTCTTTCAAGTTATTTACATACTTACTATTTCCAGAGGTGGAAATGTACAAGCCCTTCCATATGTTCAGTCTTTGGGAAAATATTCCTATATACATGATAAGATTAAAAGAGAAAATGAGGAGAAAGGTCTTCTTAATGCCTAAAAAGACACTTAATTAGGGTGGACTCGGGCTGATTGCCCAAGATTGTTTAATTAGAACAAGGGACCAAATGATACTCCTGTGTAGACAAACATCTTCAGCACCCTGTGATCTGTTGTTAAAGGGATGAGCTATTGTTAGAGATGCAGTCTGTCTTATAGTTTCTCATTAACTGTTCATATCATTTAATATTTTAAATATTAAACAGTACTAGTTAAACAGGTCATTTTTAGCTTCTCTTTCATTCTCAATCATCATCTTAAAAATCTGAGACAGAGAGAGGAAGTGAGTGACATTTCCCCCGCATGATGAGGTCCTGGATTCCATCCCTAGTGTGACAAAAAAAAAAAAAAAAAAAAAAAAAAAAAGTCTGAAGTGTTCTGATTTTCATGGAGAGATTTTTATTTCTTTTTCACTTTTTCTTTCTTGTGTGTCATTTGGTTTTATTTTTAAAGTAGCTTTAAATTTATTTATATGGTCTAAAAACTAAAAATGTAACAGCATTTAATGATGTTATTGCTTCTTTAATTTCTTTTTCAGATAGAAACCCGATCAGATGAGAAATTCAAGTACATAGGTCACCCAGCAGTGTCTTTGGGCACTTGTTTATTTTATTTCTTTTTTATTGAAATAGGTTCTTCTCTCATACAATGCATCCTAACCACAGTTCCCCCCCCCCTCCACCTATCTCAGCTCCGCCCAGCTCTACCCTCCCTCCACTCATCCCAGCCCCGCCCAGCTCTCCTCTCCCCCCAGATCCATTGCTTCTTCATTTCCCTAGTTTTTAAGTTCTTTTTGATTGGTTATTTCTACTGTATTTCTGCAGGTGGGTCCCCAAAGTTTTCTGCTGATCTCCACATGTACACTGTAGCACCCATGTGCCTGCACTCACACACGTCAGATACACATAATAACACAGAAAGGAAAGCATTGTCTTCTCTCATGATATCCCTCATACCGTGTGTAGGCCTCAAATTGTTAATTATATATGCATATTTGGTTTTCTAGATCAATTTACGTGCACGAGAAATTGAGTGGAGAATACAGTGTTCTCGTCTGTTCTCCCCCCACAGATGAGCACGGCTCCCCCTTATGTCGATGTTTTGTGCTGGTCATGTTTTTGTTGCAATCAGTGGCCGACAAAGTCCACACTCACGTCAGTGTTCACTCTTGGTTTATGTTCTATGGGTTTTGACAGAAGTAAATGGAATGTAACCACCATTACCATACCACACAGAATGCTTGCACTGCCTCAAATCAATGACATTGTAAAACAAATACATCTAGATCATTTTCAAGAAGTTGTGAGAGTGACCAGAACTCTCCCTTTATTCCCCAGGTAGACATTGGAAAGTCCAAATCCACATTGTCTCCAAACCACCACTTGGGGGGTGCTTAGCTCTATGGTCAGTCCACGAGTCTTTAAATGTTAGCTTTCGTATTTTCGGGGTAACCTCTTTTATTTTGCACATCTTGACAGGTTGTGAGCCAGGTAGCTCTGCCTCAGTGGCTGATGTGTTCTTGGGTGACATTGCAGAGCAGGGGATGTCTTCAGTGGAGAGCGTGTCTGGCAGTCTCCCAGCAGAGTGTGCCATGCTGAGGTCTGCATTTGGGTGGATTTCCCTGACCCAGGGCTCTAATCCTGGATGGCCAGCACATTAGCAGGATGAAGATGCCTTAATCTCTGCCTTCAGACTCTTACCCTCCACAAACCCCTCCCGAGGCACACAGACGACTTAGCTAGTGCTAATTCTGTCTCAACTCATCAGGGCAGCGGTAGTAAGACGTGTGCTTTGTGAACTGAACCCTTGCTAAGTCAGCAGATTTCACTCAATGGCTGCCCAGCACACAGGTGCCGGGCACAACTTGATTGTATCTCCCTTCCATTGGCTGAACTGTAATTGTTCATCAAACTCTCAGGTTTGAGTTGCTGCATCCTGGATCTAAGTGTGTGTGTGAGTGTGTGTGTGTGTGTGTGTGTGTGTGTGTGTGTGTGTGTGTGTGTGTACAGATGTTGGGTGTTGTTTTTCTTGATGGCTCTCCACTTTTTTTTTTTTTTTTTTGAGACAGGTCTTTCACTGAAGCCAATATGGCTAATCCATGAACTTCTGGGATCCTTATGTCTTTGCCACTAGTGCTGGGATTACAGGCCTGTACCGCTACGTGTTTTTTTACATGGGTTCCAGGCTAAACTTAGGACCTCAAGTTTAGGAAGCATCACTGGATTGACAGCCACCTCCTAAGCCCCCACAGATTTATTTCCTGCTCATTTAAATGACATCACTAACAGTCCACTTTAAAAAGCAACTAGATTTCAATGTGGTCTTAAATAATAACAAATCTTTTCTTTGGTTATCCTAGCACAGAATGAAGAACGGAAAAGATGATAATAACGAGTCGCACCACCAGCAAAGACAGTCATTACCGAAACACTCTTCCCCTTTGCTAAGCATATGCTTCAGCGTTTTCCTGAATGCACCTCACCTCACATACCCTGGGAAGTGTTGTTGGAGACAGATGGCTGCCCGCATGCTGCCCTTCTCTTTTGCTTCTTTTCATTCTAGGAAGCTCTTTGACATTAGAAACATCCTTGCCTTCTTGAAATGTCAAATTCCAGGCACACTCATGATTATTATAATAGAAAGATAAAACTTTATTATCATTAAGCAAGTAGTAATTACATATTTTCTGCTTGGATTCAACACAGTTTAGGTGCTGTGAAGCAAAGTCTAGCATATGTAAGTTTGTATATATGCTAATGTGTAATTATAGAAGTACTCATATGATTGGCTTGAATATTAGGTATTTTAGTTAGAGAATGAATTAAGAAATAGCAACATAGATTTTTTCATGCTTATCATTGATTGCTCCATGGTATTTTTCTCTGAAAATTTCTAATCTGATAGTTTATGCTTCACACAACATAACTTTTAAAATGTAATTAACTATAGTAATGGAGGCCATTCAAACAATGTAAAGCTGAGTGTGGTGGCACATGCTTTAAATCCCCAGCTGGGGGCAGAGGCAGGAAGGTCACGAGGTCAAGACTATCCTAGAACACACAGCACAACACTGCCTCAATGACACAAAACACCCTCCTCAGGTGTCTACAAGCAATCACTGATAGCCAGAGAGGTAAAGACATTTTCCTCAGCAGTATAGCCTCTAGTGAGTTGCCCAGACTCCTGTAAATAATGCCCCGTCCATGCTCCTGTAAGCACCCTAATTAAACCCTTCCTCTCTTACCCACACAGAAGACACAGAAGTAGAATGGACATTGTTTGGGAAGAAGGGTCCACAGGAGAGTGAAGAGAATGAGCAAGGGTGATGGGGTGCATGTGCTCAAAGTACGTTACATGTGTGGAAATGTCACAGTGACCCTCATTATTACACACAATGCATGCTAACATAACAAAAATGGATGGTAAGTGAATAGCAGTAATGTGAAACGATGATCTATTTGAAGATGATAAAATGCGTAAGCTTAAAAGTCAGTTTTGAACTGATCTATAAAAATAATCCCTCCTACTTCTGCTTCCAGTTAACCCAACAAAGGCAGGCAGTGTTTATCTGGCAGAAATGGAATAGAGTCTTTACTTTTTGGCAACTTCTGCTAAGTCATTGCTTATGAGCTGCCATACTGCTAGCACAGACCCAAAAATATAACGTTAACATTAACCAGTTTCTATGATAAAATGTCCCTTTCTTTTTTGTGGGCAACACTTTACTAAGCATAGCTAGTTTGAACGACTCAATAGGTAGACCTGGAAGATTTGAGTACTTACGTCCTCTCTTCGGATTGGTTTTGGCACCCACCTCCTGTGTGAAGACCACCAGAACCTCTGCCCTTCTGCTGCAGCAGCTTCCGGGGGTCAGTGGCTGCCTCAGCTCTTTCTGAAATGTCTTACCAAAGGTAAACCTTGCCTTAAATACGAACTCAACTAAGTTGCTTAACTCTGTTTCCCAACGGCAACTCTGCCCTCCGACATCCTCTGTAGATAGGCTAAAAGATGTTAAGCCCAAGGAAAGTGCAATGCAGGGTACATAAACCTGTCTCAGGGTTTAGCCTTTAGCATAATCCTTCCTTAGCCCTTAA